AAATGCATTTGTGACAGTAAAGAAGCTCTGTGCGTTGCCCCTTAACGGGAGAAGGCAATAAATCCTTATAGAACCATAAAATTGCATGATGTATGTCTTATATCACGAACCAAATCTCAAAGTGCGTAAATGCGTATCTGAGATACGGTCCGCTATACTGCTATCATAGCTGAACCAGTGCATGCATTCCTCAGCTTTTCCGTGTGCTCGTTGTCCTTTGCCACCTGTTCTTGAACTTATAGTATATTTGCCTGGATGGGGACTGAACTTCTCTGTCGAATTGGAAAACAAGGAACAAAGCTCCCACTAATTTCGCTCGCCATAAATTCGTCGAGTGGCCCGCGACCTTCCAATTTTTGCTCAACTCTGGTGAGGTGTACAAAGAACGTCGCTATCCATCTAAATCTTTACGCAGGCTGCAGCGTTCTGTTTGGATTTGTGAACATCTTTGACTAACTCTTTCATTTTGAAAAGGTGTTATAAGGGCAAATTCTCATGATAAAACCTAGTCTGGGGTGTGCTAGAATTTCGGCTCACGTTTGTACATATATATCTGTGCAAAATGCTCTCTATTAAGCAAAGTCCACGAAAATCGTTCCGAGATTGAGCATAAGGAGAGCGATGGGTCTAAAAATGGTCTATAAAAGATAAAGTTTTCGGCGTTAATCAATCCCGTCTGAGGGATGCGCCCCCGCACTCGACTTCCATTCAGAATCGTAGTGGCGTAATGAGTGCGTATGTGGCTTGTACAATGACTTACGGTGGCCAGCCGATGTACAAGTCAGTGCTTTTATCCTCCCAGACGAGTCTGGTACCAATCCACCGACCCCGGAGGGATGGAAGGCTTGGTTGGCCTAGGCGGGCATCGATCCGGGATTCGAACCCCTGACCGTGCGTGTGATATAGTACGCCACTTGCCACCACACCACTTCCGCCCTCAAAAATGGTCTATATAGGGCGTAATAAGTGCCCCAAAACAGGCTAGGCCGACATTCGTCCCTGAAAACGGACAAATTTTAGGGCGTTCTAAAGGGTATGGAAGTTGCACCATTCGCACCGGGACGCACACATTCGGAAAGCTTACTGTAGCCTGCTGTATGCAAGGGCCCGCACAATCGAACAAGTGCTCCTTTCGCGCACTTTAGTTGCCACATTCTCGTTGTATCCCTGACTTTTACTATTTACTTTGGAGACTTCTATTTCTCTGAATATGCCAATTTTCGCGCACTTTTCACCACTGTTGAACTACTATGGACTATCACTTCCATTCTTTGACTAAATGTAGACATCCTAAAATTGTATTGAACCGTAACTTTGACATGGAAAACGGCCAGCCGTCAAGCCACTACTCCATCGAATTTTCAGCCGTACGGTTGCACATCAAGTTGTTCAAGAGAAGAGCTATATTTTACCCAAACAACCGAATGTGCAGCACAGAAGTGTTTGGTGTCAAAATAAAATACCTAAAAATTGAGTTTATTGGGAAGTGAGTAAAAGAAGAGTTCATTTGAAAAAAAACTTTTCCTGCTGTTGAAGGAAGACATTTTAGCATTTAAGAGCACGGACATGGCTTCATTGTGCCAGCACTTGAAAGACCATGCTACACTTCGAAGGGGGGAATCAGAAAAGAAGCACTTGAAAAGCGGAAAATTCAGTCTCTTTTTATTAACAGGAGATACTTCTCTTATTCAGACACGTTACACTAGTTGTTCGTCTCTTCCTCACTGCTTCTGGCTTTATCTGCATCCATGTATTCCTCATTGATACCTCCACGTCTGCTTCTTGAAATGACTTCACTGCTTTCACTGCTTCTGTCAGGATCCATGTAGTCTGCATTGATACCTCCTCGTCTTCTTCTAGAGACTATCATTTCGCGCTCTTCTTTGGCGAAGATCGTCTCCAGATTAAGAATTCCTGAATATTATATCTTCAATATGAAATAGGAAACCTCGAACACTTTGACACAGGTATTTCAGGAAAAAGAGCGGTTTGGAAGAATCTTGAAAGCATTTCAGAGTGACCAAGCCTTCCATCCCGGCGAGGTCACTTGATTGGGACCTTCAGGAGGAGAAAAGCTGTGAATAGGTCGGCTGGGTACCGCAAGTCGCCACTACGAACGATACTGAATGGAAGTCGAATGGGATGGGGAGGGGGTATCCAAAAAGAGGACAGATTCACCCAAGGCTTCGACGCCTTTTGAAATTATCGGATAAACGACTTTTCAGTGACACGACATTACCGTGTGTACTCTGAGGAATTCGAAATTCTTAGTTCAAGCCCGACCAGAGTAGTTCTTTCTCTACTCTTCCCGGGTCGATTTACACACAAGATATCTGCCGATGCCGAGGAAACCGTGAATAAGCCTTGGCTTGATGGTTGTGGTTGGGTAAGCAACTGCAACACAGTTGTGATAGTTTCATTTTGAGTGTAGAATTTTCGAGCGTATCTCTAAGGGTTTTGGGAAATTCAAGTAAATTTTCCCTCCAAAATTCCAATGCTGAACAAAATCTCTTCAACTTACCGATGTCAAATGTTTTCTTTGGCGTTTTTCCATTGGTTATGTATGATTTCGGGAGAGCAAATTTCACTTTCCTCGAGCCAGGCTTAAATCAATTCTGTTGCAGTTCCCTTTCGTTCAACTACCCCAAAGAAACAATGTAATAGCTGCCTTGATTCCATCGTCGCAGTCGTGGTAAACCTTGAAGATAGGATCGATTGGAGTTAGTTCGGCGGTACCACCTTGAAGCATGAATTCGCCATTTCCGTCCGTGTAGCCCTGGTCAAGCAGATCGTCAGGATCAGGGCCTGAAAATCAAAGACCGATACCAAATGTTAGTCATAATGCTGCGCAGTTTGAACTCTGGACAATATAGAACTTTTCATTATGATGGATTTTCAAAACAAAAAANNAAAAAAAGGTCGCAAGGAGAACTGTGATTGGCGGTTGTATATATCAAAGATTTCTGGCATGCACCTTGGTTGAGGTAATTTTTCTCGCATAAGTTGGTGTGTTAGTGTTACCGCTTTGAAAGGACTTTCACTACACTCCACTCCGGTTATCACTCCAAGGTTGACCAAAAAGGAAACCAGCACCACCAAATGTGCCGTCAAATGAATTACAGTGCCTGATTTGGAGTAATATAGAGGATGTCACTGTTGTGGTGCAGATTCTTCAGAGAAAGTGGCACAATCTTCATTAAAAGTCCCCATTGGTGGGCGGTTGGGCCTAGAGGGCTTCCTATCCGCGACCAACAACAAGTGGCTCTTTTTGACTCGAGTGACTCAAGTTTTGCTGCATGTCTGTAGCTTTGGAGAACTAGGTAATGAAGCATTTGCCACCGTCCTTACTTGATGTTCTGGACCTTTGTCGCTATTTGGCCCCATTACACCATAGGAAAGTCTCGCTGAAACGACCTGTTATGAGCGAAACGTACATACGGACGAGCCTCGAACTCGGACTTGTGCTTTATGGGCACCATGTTCTTTACCCCATACGCTGTCAAGACCCCGGTTGATTAAGTATGGCAAACCACTGTCTTCCTCCCAGAGCTTCACTCGTACGTTTGAGGCCGGTTTCGATCCACACAGGAGACGGCCACGAACGGCTATCGACTGGTCGCGCATCGCCATAGTCAACGCGACGACAGAAAGCAGTACAATCCACTTCATCTGGAAGGAATGAATAGTGTTGGTGAATCTGTTTTTGAATTATATTTGAAGGCAAATTAATCAAAAGACAGGAATTGCAATATTGTGGTAGGCCATAACATATTTTGATAACCACCGTAGGAGGTTTCTCAGCAGGNAAAAAATGTCAAGAGTAGTTATATGCAATCATTTTGAGTCCTACGCTTATGCAGCTCATTTGAACTCTTCGAATTTCTATCAAGGAGACATAAGAAGCTACTGTGATTCTGAATCTTTTTTATTATCTGTTGAGTCTCCCTTTTTTACAAGATCACCACAGTGCTGTGGAATGCCAGTGCCCTTGTTATCTGATGAGTTTACAACGGGCTTACAATTTTTCTTGGAATCAGAATGTCTTTAACAAAAGAGCTCTTCCTTACTCTCCTTTTCCCTCTTTGTATGCTGTTGCATAATGGGTGTATTTTCGATTTAGGAGCTCTTCGATAGGGTCAGAGGTAGATGCAGCTTTGTCTGAGGGGTGCAGTAGAACGAGGCATCATTCCTCATTCAAACCGTTACGGTCATCCCATAGTCATTTCCTCTATTTATGTCCGGCTGTACCTTCGTGAAGAATGGTCTTTGATATTGTAAATGAGATGGTTTTTCTGGAGATAATGTAGCGAAACGCCACCTTCATAAGATGGTCATATTGTATTTTTTATTTGCTAGTTGTTTGGGATCGGTTACATTTTTCTTTCGATTTCGTTATCATCTGGCTGACCTAGGAAAGGTCAAAAGTAACTGTTGTCTCTTTCTGATGCATTGATATTCGGATAGTTGATGTGAAAGTATGGCTGAATACACCCAAAGGACCTTAAAGCAGCGGGCCTAGCGTTAAAGTGAATTAGCCATACTAGTTGCCAGGTTTACTCGCCGGGCGCTAGGTTGATACTCTTCATAGTGGTAAGCTTTAAGCCCAACCGACCTTTATCCTGTGCTACCTTCAAAGCGCTTAAGCTTTAGGGCAGCGTAAATATGAAGTATTTACAAGTAAAGTACAGGTAGGTAGTACAAGTATAAACATTAAAGGAAATGTTCAATATAAGCATTTCTTGGTGCTAAGGGAGTATCTCGATGGAAAAAAATGAAAATGGAAATAATTTACAAAAATAAAATTTTTAATTCGACTACACAGTGACAGATTATGTATTAGTTTCGTTGGATGCCTGCTGAGATATCCGTGAATACTCAGACCAACGCTCAAAAAGAGGGAAATTCCAGAATGAAGTGAAATGCCGCGTAGGAGAGAAATTCAAGCAGACTGAACACATTGTAGACGCGAAGATCTTTGCTTGTCTGATAAGGTTGTTTACATGTGATAATGACCATGGAATTGACAAATACATTTTGCTTATCGTTACTCCATTTGAACACGAAAGGGTCACGACTGGGAGGATCGAATTAAAAGTATAATCCATTCGGGTGCATTCAATGCTGACTAGAAAATGTTGCCCAGTAGTTCGCGGAGCGTCGTGACACTTGTCAACAATTCGAGGATATGTTCTCGAGGGTCAAATCTAAAAGGGAGCCGGGACGCTCAACATATTCTACCGCACATCGCCACTCCTCACGTTAAAGTGGTGTCTTAGAAGTCAGGTGCTGTCTTCCTGCAAAATCGCTGCCAGATCTCACCTCGCCTTCGCACCATTTGAACGCCGTTCAGTCGTCTCCGGTTAGTGGTCATCCATGTGCGTCTCAACATGGAGCATCACCTTGTTCCCACTTTGTTCAGTTTCTTCAATTCGCGATGGCCTCTTATTCTGATTCTGTCATTGTCAGAATGAGCGATTCTCTTTCTTTTACGTAGTCTGGATTATGGTAATGTTTTTACGAGAGTTTTATCTAGCGTACGACATTTGCGACAAGAGTCAAATCAAAAATCCATAGTATGTCTGATATTCATCACTTTTCCTTGACCCTTTCCTCCGGCACAGTGGAAAGAAATCATCGCTCGATTCATCGCTCAACAGAATGGGAAGAATAAAAGTCTAAGTCTAATTGACCGCTATGCATTCCCATTAGCTGCTCTTACGTCCATACGCTAATTGCACCCAATCTGGAAATTATGGTTAGCAGAAATGATGAAAAATATACACCCAGTAGAAACATGTATATGGAATTTATTCATTCTCAACTTAGCTATATTAGATGCAGCAATTGTTTTGTCTGCCCTTCAAAGAGGTTGTGAGCATTAACAACTCAACAAGGCGTCTTTCAAAAAGGACCACACACTCCTGAAGCTACTGCCAATAAAAAGTCTTTCCGTTGCATATCACTCAGTGTGCGCTATCAACTTCCTTGATGAAGCACCCGAGCTCAAACTCAACAGCACACACCACTTCAAAAACGCTTGGGTTTGGTAAGTTTGGAATGTGTTCGACTGACAATTGGGACTTTTTCCACTGTGGAATTCTATTCAGATGAAACTAATCCACAACTAGGGACCAAAAAATTTGCGTCTCTTCCTCCCAGAACTTGTACTCCCTCGTCAATTCTTCCAGATTTTGGCCACCGGAACAGGCTCCACCTCATAGACTCTCGGACTTTTTTTTCTGAATTCGGCTATGGACGTGCCCATGAATAGCAATTTTACCATATCTACTCATGCGGGGTGATGTTTCTTCCAGATCTCCTCAAGAAATAAGGGCTGCGATCTTACGAATTGGTAAAAAGGCGTTATCATCGTTGAATTTATTCAACCATCAGAAACTTCAGGAAAATAACAAATTACAGACAACATTTTGACTTGGAGTCAATTACAATTTGAACAATTACTTGGCATTGGGAAACTTCAAATAGGCGCACTCCTAAAATCAAACGAATCAGTTCTGATTGAATTTAGATTAGTTCTTCTTCGCTGCTATCGTCAACTTTCATATAATCAGCATAAGTCCTTCCTCTCCTTTTTCTCGTAACAATCATTTCTCGTTCTTCCTTAGGGAATATCGTTTCAAGATTCAGAACTCCTGAAAAATCATTGTTTTACTGGGTACAATTTGGATTATTCTGTGAAGCAGCTCTTCGCAAAAAATGTTTAAAATTTTTGTTGCAATGCTCTGAAAATTTCGTTCGGACCTACCGATGTCGAACGTTTTCTTAGGAGTTTTTCCGTTGGTAATGTAAGATTTTGGTAGAGCGAATTTCACCTTCCTCGAGCCTGGCTTGAAATTGCTTCGTTTAACAGCGTGTTTGTCAAGTAAACTGTCAGCCATTACCAATATTCCATCATCGCAATCATGGTACACCTTGAAAATGGGGTCGATTGCTGTAAGTTCAGCAGTTCCACCTTGCAATTGGAATTCGCCGTTTCCGTCCGTGTAGCCTTGATCGAGAAGATCGTCCGGATCAGGACCTAAAGGAAAAAATTTAAATGTATTCACGAATTCTACCTACTCAATTGTCACCAATTCCCAATCCGAAGAGATAATGCTCGATTTCCTGGACACAGCAAGGCATGCTATAGGCAGTGCGATAGGTTGCAAATCTCTACCATACCAAAAGTAGCCAAAAGCTAGTAATTCCAAGCTGATGAATAGGTCCCTCAAGTCAATGAATCATTTCAGTGAACTACCTGATCTAGGCTACTTCTATTGTTACTACTTCTCTACCTGAAAGTTCTCTTATAGAAAGAACATCTTGTAGACAAATCTGGCTCGAATTGTGTAGTTCTATTTCAATGAATGTCTGGTTGGTCAGGTAAGAAACTGGTGCTTCTGAAATGAAACAGCTTACCTATTATCTGAAATGTACAGTGCCGCGCCGGAGAAGAACTTCTTCTCACCTACCAATGATTCTACATATAAAGTAAATAAACTGCTAGAAAATGGTTTTATGAGGTTTTCAAGTAACGGCGAATGCGGGCCACTAATTATATAAAGTTGAAAGTAGGAAGTGAAATGCTAGGAGTTAGGATCACGAAGGTATCGTAGAGCTTTCCTCAACAAGTAAAGCATTCTAAAGAGGAGAGCTTTAGCGCCGAAGGAAACGGTGCCAGAACACGCCAAGTAAATTTCTTTTATAGAATCAGAGCGCAGTACCACTGTCTTCTTCCCAGAGCTTCACTCGTACATTTGTTGCCGGCTTCGATCCACACATCAACTTTCCACGAACAGCTATAGACTGATCACGCATTGCCATTGTCATGCCAACGGCTACAAGCAACAGTGTCCACTTCATCTGGAAAAACCGAATGAACATTGAGCCTTGTCATAAATCAGAGCCAATGTTCATGCATTCCACTCCCAAGACCCAATGAGCACAGAAATTTATAGTTTCACCCTGTACTACGGTGAAGGTATGGATGGAGAAGCAGTATCGGTTTCTGGTCACTGATTGCCGATCACCCCATAAAGGCTCCTCCTTAGATTAAAGTCATCTGCCGACCCTAGTGACCTAAACCATGAACTCATATTTTTGTAAGAAGGCACTGGACCCCACCACAGACTGCGATTGAACTTGCAAAAGAAGTTCCGAGTCTCACATTGATTTTCTTCCATTGTAAATCTATGAGGAAAGATGTATTATGTATGCATTTGCAAGTTTTTTTTTTGTTTCCGAAACAACACGCTGCTCCTGATGCTGCTGCTAAAGGCCAAGCCCGCTGCAGAGGGGGATTGGAGTGGTGAACTCAAAAACTCGTAAAACCTGGGTAAGAAATAGCAGTTTGGAATCAGGATTAAGATTCGATCTTCTAGAGTACTGTCTGAGTAGAGCTCTTAAAACACTTATTTACCCTCCGAATAGGTTGTCCCATCGGTCTTGGGGTGACGTAGCTTGGACAGCCCTTGATCCATTACACACAAGCGTACCATTGGGTAGATTCACGTTAGTTCGATGGGGTTTCGATATGACAGAAAGAGCAATCTGGCAATGCATCAGAGAAAAGGAACAAATACTTTCCCGAAGATTGAAAACAGAAGTAGTCTTTGAAAACAATTAGCCGCTCGGTCACAGTGATGAGAGCAGCTTCGGAGAAATGTGTAAGTGGACTGAAGGCAATATGGAAGTCCATTATGGGCTGATAAGAATAATTACATTTGATAGCGGCTATAAATGCCAAACGTATTAGGCGCAAGGCAAATATGTTTGACGCCCAACCAATCTTTCCATTTCATAAGTGGTACGAATTCTGAAGACATCTCGTACTGATCAGTGATCATGTGGTGCTGTGTAGTTTTCTGATACGAATACACTGGGGAAACTTCAAAGAGGAGATTTTGAGTTTCTCACAGTGACTGTGATGACGGTAATGGACAGAAAAAAGATCCCAAAATCCCCCTCGGATGCCTACGGCCTTGCTGCATGGGCACCTTCGCGCCTCCGTGCACTTACCGAGTTGGCCTTCTGATATGCAGAGAATTGCCTATTAAACAAAGTCCCTACTTCATAGAGTGCTTCTGAGCTAGCGAATCATCTAGCTCCATTTGTGCGGAAAGCTTAATCCGACCATTCCAAAGGATAAAAGTGCTGACTGTACATCGGCTGGCCACCGCAATTCATTTTATAGGGCGCATACGCATTCAACACGCCACTACGATTCTGAATGGGAGTCGAATGCGGGTGCGCATCCTTCAGAAGGGATTGATTGACGCCTCAAGACCCTATTCTTTTGTTTACTTACCTTTTCCAACAGCTAGACAAAAGTTGCAGTAAATAAGTAGCAGCATAGATTTGAAAAAACCAACTGATACAGTCTTCCAATAAAGGTTCAAGATGACAGTGACATTCTTGACTTACTGTATAGCTGCACGCAGTAGCAGGCTTTCGACAACTCTAATTACCCCCATTCACGCCATTTTGTGTGGTCTCTATCTCACGTACTACCTTTTTTATTCACTTTTTTGGAGCTATATAACTTTCTGAATATACTATTTTTTGCGTTTTCTTCGTGGTCTTTGCGCTATTTTGGACCACTACTTGCTACCTGCTTAAGCTAGGACCTCGGAGTAGTAATCGTGAACTGACAATAAGAGTTCATTCATGCTCAGCTGAACTGTGAGTCATCAGTGTCAAACAGTAGCGTTCGTTGTGTAGCGGCTTAAAATGAACAGTGATTGTTTCTGTGCTACTGAACCAATGTGTAAAAGAGTATTGTACCCACGGTACAGTAATGATTCCGAATGCACCGCCGTTTCATTACTATGTGCTGTAGGAAAACTTCTTACGAAGATGCCACTAATCTACTTTTTCCAATATGTAGACAGCTCTCATTCTAACCTGATTAGTTTCCACGACTTGACTCTGCAGAGTCTAAAATCTATGCCATTCCAACGCCTGATGACCCCCCTTAAGGTGACGTCAAATATTTACGAAGATTTTTCTTCGTCAACAATTGCAGACTGACATCTTTCACCACAAACTCTTGAAAATATCTCGCCTTAATCCTAAGGGACTGCAGTGCACTTTAGCTTTGACTTTGATTTATGATGTGGCCAAGATAATAGTTTTTATATGATCGATTTTGCTATCATAGCCTTTTTTGAAGCGATTTCCTTCTTAGCTGCTTAACATTTCACCTGATTTTCACTTTTTTTGCGACCATTTTGGGTGACCACCTCAAAAAGAAGCTGACTCAAACGATTTTTATTTACGGATACTGACAGCTTTCAGACATCACCGTATCTTGTGGTCATATAAACAGCATTTCAAAAGGCTATTTCCCCGAAGAATTGCTGTCAGTGACTTTTTAATACGTAGATACAACGATCTTAGACCCCCTAAGAAGTGTGATGTCTAGCGTAACCACCTGAAAATTGCAATAATCGTTCTTATCTAACTCCACTGCTCGAAACCCAGACAAAGTTAGCCGGATATTAATAACAACTCTCATTTCTAAGTGAAGTCTTCCTTTTATATCGTCCGGAAAGCCGCAACTAACGATAAAGAGGTGGAATGTTGGAAAAAAGCAGAATGATGTCATACTGTAGCTGCGCAACAGTATGATAGGGTGGTTGGGGTGTGTTGAAGCACTTGAGCCCTTCTGAATCTACAAATGCATGTGTTGGATGCAATCAAAGATTTTCTATTCACTTGAGGCCCGATGCTGCAAAGGACACCGTGCGAAAGCTGCTAGCCTGGTAGATATTATACGTGCGGAGTCTCCTGAGTAACTATTACAAGTAATAGTGGCATAGAAAAAAGCGGGTTCTGGATGAATGGCTACCTTGAGTAGGCCTCTCACAGTAGTAGCATTCATTACTCAAAAACTCGTACACAACGAACTGCAGGAGACCAGCTACGTTCGCAGCTATGAAGATGCTACACTAACAACTGCAAGAATAGATTTTTCACAGAGTTACATAGTACTAGCCTTGCTCGAAAGCCTCAGATCGTAAGTCACAGCAGAGCAATTTCAAATCAAGAATAAGGTGTGTGTAATGTTGGTGTGCAGGTGCCGCAGTATTACTGCTAGCTTCGCAATGATACAATGGTGAGTCAAAGTAACCAGCGAAAAAGGTAAGGCACACAGTAGGGCGACATTACACTGCCCAGCTCCGTCTGCTCTACGAACTTTCCCCAAGCTGGTTTCGGCTCTGACGCTGACGTCAGGAGACTTGTAGGGGTTTGAGAGGAGCTAAGAGAAGGAGAGGGTGTCCGATCAGGTCTGGCACTGTTAATTCCGTTACATTCGTTAAAATCTGGCCTCAGCACTTATGTACGTCCTACCTCAAATACAATTTACAATGACCTCCCATACTGATTTTGATTTTAGCAAGGACACTTACTGCTTGTCCCACGTTGTAAGCTAAGGAGATCGTAGATTTCATACATACTTTTGACATACTCATTGAACAAAAGTACGGTTTCTCCAGGAGAAGAGGTAAACAGTCCCTAGGAACCTCATCTAGTCAAGCTTTCAAGGACTGCAATGACCGTTGAAGGCATGGAAGCTGACGAGAAATGGAATTTAATCAGCTCCTTCTCCGTAAATATGTACATGAGCAGAGCTCTTTCATGCATAAGACGTGTGGTCATTCAAAACATCACATAATCTTTCATTACAACAATATATCAAACATTATGAACGAACAGACTAGACATATACACTGCTATTGCAGTTACTATACAATCAAACCGGTAACATTTTCACTAGGAGGACCGAAAAAATTCTCGAAGCTCTACACCTCTGTGGCACTTTTGTCAGCACAATTACAATCATGAATCGAAACTGAATATAAACATATCCCTGAGTTACAAATATTTATATATAATATCCATATATTTATATATTCAACTAACATCTTCCAGAATATTCTTGAGATAATTTCATGAGTTTCTAGTCAAACATAGACAAAATATTTCAAAAATATCAGAGAGCTGTGATCGAAATTGATTCCCTGTCATGTAGAGCGCTTATAGGTTTAACAAGTATATGAGGTCGGTGATCATCTGAATTGCCCTCGACGATATTTACTTCAGCCAGCCATCTGGTTGGAAAGTGTCTTGCCTGAAATGGACAGCATTTGGGCGCTGAAATGTCTTTTACGTCCCAGAAAAGTAGCCGTCCCATAAATAATGCCTGTAGAGTTGGAAGAAGCATGGGATTGACATGGGTGTATTCAAAAAAGTTTCAAGGAATTTTGCCTGATCTCTGAAGATTTGGAGAGGACTTCATGGGAATCTTATGGTGCAGAAAGAGACTGAGCTACGTCGCGTTCTGACCTAACGCCGCACTAGGGACTGGCATTGTCTATGGGACAACTACTAGATGAGGGACTAGGCACGATCTTAGTATGTTGCCCACACATTTTCTCGGACAGTTGACAAGCTGTTAGTAAGCAGAATTTGAGCAACTAAAATATCAACAAGTAACAGCCTTACATCACTGTTTCCTGCCTCTTTGAGTAATTCAATCTGAAAAAGCTGCACGTAGAAATGCCTTCATGGTTCCAAATTTATGTGTTGTTTACAGTACGAACTAGGAAGCATCATAGAAAATCCAGGGAAGAAACCGGCATTATAAGGACCCCAAATAGTTGTTTCGGTATGTCTCCTTTGTTTATCTCTCTGTCGAATTGAATAGAAAGGACTACATTAAAAGGAGGGGCCTAGAGACATAAATGAACCACCAAGGAACCAGTAGGTTCAACCACCAAGCTGATGAGGAGGGTATTCATTTGAAGCTGCGTAAGAGTGGTGGACGATGTTTCAGATAATTGCCTCAGAATTGTCCTTATACTTCGATATGATGACTGCGAAGGCGCTCCCTAGCTTACACCCACTTGGAACGGTTTTTTATGGTGGTAGTGGTTGGAGTAAAGTTAGAGTTTCTTCATCTACATATTTCTGTGTTTATCTATTTTTGTTAGCTTCACACGGGAACTAACTAATACTTTCTTTTACTACTTATATACCTGCTTTGGCTACAGCCTGACATCTTCGAAAATCTAAAAACGTTCAAACATGAGTGTTTTGCTGCTCCAGGGTAATTTTCCAGTGATACACCATAGTCTCGTCTTCATCTATATTTGTGCAAAAAAAAAGTCTCGGCATGGATCGAAACTTGGACTTGGAACTCTTCTACCCACTCTCATCCCACAATCACTTCCCTCTCTCTTCGTTACCCCCTAATTCTGTGGGAAATTCGAAGGTTAAGCGTATCACAGAAACAAGTCCACCAAANTTTTGTTGGTGGCAAGAACCAAGTTTCTACACCCTTCAAGTATTCTCTTGTGAAGGCCTACCTGGCTTGCGTCATCCCATCCACTGTCAGCCTCATCATCCATCAGTGTCATATGGTCGGCCGTCGGATCATAACTACCCATGGGCCATTCCATATTCGGTAAGTGTCGTTGGGTGAGAGGCTGCCAAATTGGTGACGCTGGTGTAATTGTTGCTAAAAGATTCATTATCTACTTCAACATTACAGAAGAGACGTTATTTTCCCGCTTTCCTTTTCTCATTCCACTATGTTCGGCTTCATGGCTTATCAATTAAATGACACAAAGGAGAAACACGAAGTTTGAGATTAATTAACCTCTGGGATGCGCCCCAGTATTCGATTTTCAATCAGGATCGTGGAAGGGGTTTAAATTCGTAGATGGCTTATACAGTTCCTGGCGGTGGGGCACAAGTCAGCGCTTTTATCCTCCCTGACAAGCCTGCTACCGATGCCGCAGAGATGGAAGGCCTGGTTGGATTGGGCCGGTATCAAGCCAGAAGTCATAGAAAGACGCTAATGTTCCTCGCCCACCGCCAGTTTTTTTTCATACCAGTAAACGGAGTGGGAAAGATTCTGGCCGTCGCCCTACNAGCTCGAGGTTACGGGAGAACTAGATACTTGGAGCGATAAGAGGGGGTAGGTTTCCTTTCGCTAGGCTTTTTATGCTCCCTACTCTTCAGTGGCTTGCACCATAGGAGTCATCTTTCCCCGTGCATACCTTGACTCTGGGACTGGGATGACTGGAATCAGCATATGGTACACAAGGAACCTAAAGCTTACTTGTAACAGTGTCGGCGTTGTTTTCGTTGATAACACACCGCAATGAGGGTGGTCTATGTTTGTCACGCCCATTTACCACTGGATGATAGGCAAGATTTTGCTGGTGCCTCCGTCCGAAACAACAACGACAGCAACAGCACAGAGCTTTCTTGGACCACTTGTCGACCGTTTGGTGGAACTTCGAGCTGAAATTGGTACAATGAGTGAACTTCATGAGTCAGGGTACTGGTTTTCCGCAAGTAGGTAACACTTACAATACTATTTCACGATACTCTTTGTTGAAGACGAAATATATTACACAGTTAACAGAAGAGTTGAGAATGACCAGAAAATTACTGGCATCTGAGAGTAGATTGAGCAATAGGGGATCAGGATCGAAGAACGTCTCAATCACGTTGACCACCAAAGCCTAGAAGTGTGTTGTTTCGAAAAATTCCGTCAAAAAGACGATTCAGTTCCAGGAAAGAGAAGCGAAAGCCAAAGGAGTAGCTGAGAAAAGCAATCTCACCAGAGTATTACAAGCCAAGAATAAAATGACGACCATGATCATTGTTATGGTATCATCAGCTCCACTTGATGGGTTTGTGGTCGGTTTCAGCAGCGAATCAGAGGAATCCACTTTTGATCTAAAAGGCAGTTCTCAGAAGAAAATTTTGTGTAGTTAAACGAATTCAGTAACAAATAGTCTCTGAATTTCCTAGAAAAATTTCATTTTGGAAGGTCTCCCCCTTCAGTTACGTTCATACTGATAAAAAAAGCCAGGAGGTTTAACCAATAGAGTCGAAGAAGAAGGCTATTTGAAAATTTTGTTTGAAATGGTTCCAAAGTGCCTGCCCCTATATCAGGCGTTCCAGTTCCAGGCATTCCCTTCTGATTGTTTTTTTTTCAACGTCGTTAGAGAGAAGGGCGGATTTGGTGTATTGGCAAGTGGCCTACTTCACGCACGCATGGTACGGGTTCCGATCCCGGCTCGATCTCCGCCTAGGCCAACGAAGCCTTCCATGTCTCCGGGGTTGGTTAATTGGTACCATACTGATCTGGGTGGATAAAAACACTAACTTGTACATCGGCTGGCCACCGCATGTCATTGTATAGGCCACATACGCACTCATTACGCCACTACCGTTCTGAATGGGAGTCGAGTGCGGGACGCTTCCCTCTGACGGGATCGATTAACGCCCGCCTCGAGAATTCTTTTCTATCCTTTTTATTTACGTTGTGAGAGATGATTTTAAGAGAGATTCGGTTTTCTTATGGTTTTTTTTCAAATGCGTGGTCACTCACACTTGCGTCTGCTTGTTCGTTTCAAGGCTTTGTCTCACTACGATGACAGCGTTCAGGCAAAGAAGAAAGAGAAACGGTAGCAGAGTCATCAATACCATGTACATATACACATTGTAGACCATATTAATTGTAAAAAACAATGTTGTCGGGCAGATCTCGATGATTTGGTCCTGGAACGACTGGGTTTTCGATCACGAAATCAATCAAGGACCTCAATTTCTGAACATAAACTCACTCCACTAGTCTCATGAAAGCACTTTCTGAGGTTGAATTGAGGAAATCGTAGTGAATTGTACATGATTGAGACGATAATGACCGTGGTACAGATCTGCTTAGCACGACGTATTGTACAGTAATCGTTAGATACTGATTTCCAGCATACCTGAATGATTCCAATATTTGGGTTTTCATGAGGTACTTTGGGAGCGGAAGGAGAGTTATTGACCGAATCCGGATGTTTGCTAACCACAGAATGGAGCTTAACCCCAAGAAAGTGGCTAGCCCTTTGACGTGTAGCTCCCACGTTCCCCACTCCATATCGGGTAGCAAGCATCCTTGGAGTAAATAAATGGACGAGTACGAGTTTTCACTCACGTTTATAAAGCAGTCGAAAGCGGCGGCTACAGTGAAGTAGATACTGCATGTCTGAGCCATATAACCGAATGGTAGAATATAGACGGTCGTATACGGTGCTCTGGCCAATTCCGGTATGTACGATCGAGCAGAATCTGAACAAAAATATATTCAACGGCAGCAATGTTGGAGGGGATGACTGCCCTATTGTTTTTTCAAAAACGGCGTGAACAAACAACATTAAGACGCTTAACCGATGCACCTCTAGGTACGTCTAAGTAAAAAAAAATATTGCACCCACACTTTGCTGATAACTGGAGCGCTTCACCTCCCATGACGCTCTCCCGGAAAGAAGAGGCCTGCTGGTTTGTTTGGGAAAACTTCTAAGTATCGCTCTTTTCTTCGATCTAAACTTTGACCTCTACCGGTTCAAGTAGGAGTGACGTGGAGTGGAGTGGGTGAGACCCCAATTAATTACTATGGGCTCGCCTCTTTTCACGGCGTTCCCACTCCTCAACCCGGTTTGGAACGATGAAGTCATTTGAGAAAATGACAATTTCCTTGATTAAAAACAACCCCGTCCATGGTCCCCATTAGAGTTTTTAATGGAAACTAGTTGAAGTCAATAATCCGGTAAGTGTTTGTGGGTAATTTCTCGTGAAGAGACCAGGTTTTTCTTGACTTTTTTCAGTTGCGCTCGATAGTAGCTTCTATACTATTGAAAAGCAGCTCCAGGTTATCTGTCTTCCTACCCACAGAGTGGAATCGACGAGGAGAAGCGTTTCCAATCAAAATAACATGGCAGGAGAATAATAGTGGCAGTTGCCGATGCTGCTGCAGCAAACAATTGTGATAAATGTTGGCATTGATGTGTTTTCGGGTGTTTCAAATCCATAAATTCCATGTTTTCGATCCATAAACTAGATTGCTGGCTTACTCAGCTTTCTTTGGCTTACGACCTATTCCTCAAGTTTAAGGTGTCATGCAGAAACAGTAGGAAGCGGTCCTCGAAATGTCAATTAGTGTGAGAGGCGCACTAGGCCCGGCTGGGCTCCTAGATGGACTTCTAGGTGACTATTCATTGGATACTTGAGTTTTGAACTTAATTCGTTCCTAGGCGGGTGCTGCATTCTCAGGCGGCGCCCCATAAGGCGCATTTTCTCCGGATCGGACTCCGAAAGGACCATCATAGCTGTTGCTCCCTCCAGGGTCGGACAAATAAATCCACACCCGTCTGCGAGGATAAGAACACTGGCTTCCACATTGGCCGGCTGAGGAAAGAAGGAGAGAAAGAACCTTGTAAAGAGATGCCTTCGAGTTTGCTGTAGCTGGACGAGTTTCTCGTTTTTTGAAAGAAAAGGGAAAATCAGAAGTGAAACTCTTGGGAAGAACTCACCAATCCAAAAGATAAAAAGACCCGTGACAATCACCAAGAAATCGCTGCAGGCAAGAAATAACAAATAAGTATTGGCCGAGTTTTGCATCCTGAAAATCCCCATATGAAAGGAGGCTATTTCTCAATGACTGTTGACATTTTCCAATAATTTGGATAGTCTATTCCATAGAGTTTCATTGTGAATCGCTTTTCGAAACAAGTCACAAGCACCCTTCACTGAAAGGTCAAGTTATTGGAGGTACTCCTAGCTAGAAGTTGCGCAAGCTGCCGACCCTCCACCACTCTTATTCACTAAATCGCTGCCCCCAAACGTGCCGTTCATTTGCTCCCAATCTTCTGTGGTCCAATGTTTTTGAAGACATTAGTTCCCGTGTTATTCCCAAGTCCGATTATTCATGCAACGTGATTGATGTTAGATCCTGGGGGGTTTCAAGAGCATTCGTTTTGCTCTCTTCGATCTGAAACCAGACTTGTAACGGTTCTTTTAGTTGCTTATCTTATCTCAAAGAACACGGTTTCACTAAACAGCGATCTATATATCCTGAGCGTTCGTACTATGGTCATGGGGTAGGAAAGGAGACCCACCTACAACAGCTCGAAGCTCAAACTTTTTGAATCCTGTATCCAAAAAAAAAAACAGCATCATAACCTTAATCTTGTAAGAGCTACACTGTCTTCATCAAATGATGAAGCACAACCTTCTCATAGCTGGTTGAAGGGCACTCAGGGCATGAACAGCTGGAACCAGTATCCCACGGAAGATACTAACCAGTAAGATTTACTCCATAAAGTTACCCTTTGGTTCATCACCACCACTTAAACAGTCGGCGTGATACTTGAGTCTATGGATCCCTTGTGGATATATTTTTTACTTTCAAATACAACAACAGGACGTAGTAGTCTATCGCAACTGGTGAAGGGGTGAAGGAGGAGTAGTTCTAGGGCTGAGCCTATCAAGCCCGTAGTCTGGTGCCAAATGGCCGAATCACAGTCGCCAGGAACAATAGCTTTCTCTCCTTTCCGGAGATCCAATGGAACCAGAAAAGGCCTGGTCACCTGTAAAACGGCCGACCACTCGAAAAAAAAAAGAGCTGAAAGACAAGCAAACCTTTTCCGAGAGTACACGTATATGTTGATAACATTTGTGCAAACACCAAAAAGGGATAACGGCGGCAAGGCAATAATAATCAGCGCCAAATTGTACCTGAAATCAAGACATACAAACAAAATGGTTCTCTATAAACGGAGGTATTGCCAAATTTGAGTTGGGCCTTGTCGTGTGTGAAAGCAATTTTGGAAGCAAAATGTTTGGGAACGTCAGTTCCCCGTACACTTCTTGTTGACCGAAAGTTTGCCAGGAAGACTGAAGAATGACAATGACTTCTACTAATCTATTGTTTACGTAAGTCCGAAGGAATCTCAGGTGAGAATAAGTGCACGGCTCAAACTGGAGAAATCGATCACTGGCTTCAATCGATAACAACTCGAGGCAACTTCTTCCTGATAATTATGATTCTTGGCTTAATTTATAGGTCCTCAATTTAGCTTTACACGAGCAATCCATCAATCTTTTCGGATTGACTGAATAAGTGTGGGTTCGTGTATAGGAATAAAACTACTGGCTTCTAGGGGTGCTGCTCTTTATAGCTCATGCTGTAGCCGTATAAAATTTTAATTGTCCCTTCTGTGTCTGAAGAAAAACGATCGGCGGTGGCCCGAGTTAAGGCTTCCAAAAGCACTACTCCATACGTATGATGTGGCTTACTCTAAAAACGATTATCTGACGATAGGGAGGACAAGGCGTAATATGTAATTGTCTTCTGAAAGTGGAGATAATTCCAAGAGGCTAAGCGACTCCTCAATGGCGCAGGTGGTTAAGTGGCAAGTGGCGCATTATCATACACGCATAGACCTGGGATCGAGTCCCGTGTCGATACCCGCCCAAGCCGATCACGCCTTCCATTCCTTCCAGGTTGGCTGATTGGTAATAGCTGTCAGGGAGGATGAAAACATTGTCTTGTACATCGGCTGGTCACTGCAAGTCATTGTATAGGCCACATACACTTTCAATACGCCACTATTCTAAATAGCAGTTCAATTCAAGGCGCATCTCAAAAACGCGATTGACTGACACTTAAGATTTTATCCTTTGTCCCTTGATTGAACGATTCTCTCACTTACCCAGCATAAAGCGGTGAATAGTCGTCCGTCTGTAAATCGGAGCACATACATTCGGTGCTGTTGGGATCAATCTCGTAATCGACCATGATGCTGAAATAGTGGAAATCAGTACTACATTCCCTTTTTTTCTATTCCCCCCAGTCCCTAGAAATTAATTGCTCTGCATTTTCTTTTCTTTTGAGCCTCAATTTATGAATGTCAGCATATGCCTTCCGCGCATATCAATAATGGACGTTCCCCTGGGGTCATTCCGCTAGTTGTTCACATCACATTCACCTCTTCTCGATAACACTTTGAAGGTAGAAAAGGCGAAATCTGAGCCTAGCTTATGTGGGCGTTCAGCGTGGGTCCCTATGTCCTTTGGGGTCTTATTTGGATGGGGTACGTTTTCTATTTTCCATTTCATTAAACGTGTTCGGATCTCGTTATAAGTGTTTTCAGCTTTTCATTCGGCTTCACTGATTCCAATGAAAGCTCTTCGGGCCATTATATCCCCAGTTCCTGATGGACGTAAAATGTTTCTACAATTGGGAATCAAAAGAACATAACGAGTTCTGAGTAGCTATCGCATTTCTATTTGTCCAGGCCCACCAGAAATAGCCCTGATTAATGACGTCGTGGTCAGCCTGATACCTCCGCTTCCTGCTTGTTGAAGCATGGATAAGGTTCTCATTGTTTTGTCCATGTTCCTTATACTGGTTGATTGACAATACTAGTGCAAAAAAATTTGGCTTTCCTTCCTATTCCTCACCGTCTTCCTCCCTCCGTTCCACCGCTCCCCTCCAGTTCCCCTCAGCCACCTCTCTTCCACCCAAATGAACCATTCTGAGAACTGGTGGCTCAGTCCTAAAACGTATTTCGGCCTTCAGTTCCGAATAAGAATGAATCGTCAGAACGGGCGGATCTCAGACGCCCAGTAATCCAACAATCCCCAGATCCAAAGCACCCTTCAGCCCAATGGTCGACCATACAGGATCTGCCAACTCAACCGGGGTAGACTACCCTCTGGAGGGAACAGTAGGATTACAGCTGAACATCACAGATCTTAAGTGCTGTCGTATCCCTTATTCATGTAGGTACTTAAACCCATTCCTAGACTGGAGATGTTCCCTGTCTTTTTCTCGAAGTGTAAGAAACCGAAATGGGGTGAGAGAAAAATCCGGAAACTAAAAAGAAATTTGATACACCGTTGATCTTCGCTTTAAGAACCTTGGTCGTAGTCGAGAAAGCTTTACACCTACTTCAAGTGTCAAATTTCCGGAAAAGCACAGATTTCTATGTTTAGGGATCCCGCTTACTGCAATGGCTTGATAATCGGGTTTTCGTTCAACCCAGTTTTATCGTAGATACATAGCTGCTATTGAAGTAGATAGAGTAAGGGCAATACAGTTATCATTTGGGAGTCGTACATTCCCTACAGACTGTGGCATGCAACGCCTTTTATAAATTAGTTTTGAAAAATAACAGAGAAAAAGGTTATTGTTGACTTCGGCTTAATTATGTTTATTTCAAGTAGCGTAATTGATGGTCCTGCCGCAGTAGTGGATGCCATTAGGTCTGGCTTCACATCATGAGGACACACACTGGGAAACAACACAAAATTGCTAACCGAATCGCCACAAATGGAACCCACAAAGGAGAACCGATAGTAGTAATTATGTTGTATATTTAGGGAGTTAACAGAAATTTTTGCTGAGAAAATTCATTAGCTCATAGGAGATACTCCGATGGAGGCAGACAGGCAAAGACTATGACCCAAACTGAATTATGTGGGCCAAAATCATACCCGATCCCAATTCTCTTCCTATTTCTACCAGTGTTTTCCGTATTCTCTCGGAAATGAGCAGCCTCAAAAGAGTAAGAAGTAATCCGGATTATCTTGCACGCTGTCAGCACCGTTTGCTAAAAACAGCAGACTCTTAAAAAGCCTACTTCGTTCGTTTTTGCAGGCGGTGTGAAAATTCGAGAAAAAAGAGTAAGAAGTAATCCGGATTATCTTGCACGCTGTCAGCACCGTTTGCTAAAAACAGCAGACTCTTAAAAAGCCTACTTCGTTCGTTTTTGCAGGCGGTGTGAAAATTCGAGAAAAAGTTGCAGCGAGTGCTACCCCTTCACCCCATGCCCTTCACCCTCCCCCCACCAAACAGTTTAACGGTGAACCATGCCATGTACGAAGATTTTCATTAATTCTTCACCTATTAAAAGGTCGGAGAAGCTCTCCAGTGTGTGAGATTTGGAGGGAGAATAGCATAAATCGTTTTCAGCCATCCCCCACGCTCTGTACATGAAACAGGATCAATTAGCCTCAGTTGAAAGGACCTTAGCAGAATCTCTTCTTGGGAATGGAATGGATCGCAGTTTGAACCAGTACGATATCTTAACTGTTTAAACAACGTCATAGATATTTAGACACAGTGCTGTAGAGCTCTGTCGGCCTCTGAAGTTGTACGAAGGAGCTCCTGAAGTAGTACCTAGTGAAATGCCCCCGCTCATATGCCTTCGAGATGTAGGTTTCTCTGTTCTTCTGAAATGGGTAACCCATAAATAGGTCTCACAAAACGTCAGAACGGTCGTTTCTTTGAGAACAAGTTGGTTAGGAAGTTCGGTAATTGCATCATAAACGACCCAGGTAGCCTGAAAGAAAACGGGATCAACCAGGGCAGGAGCGGAAGCTTTTTTCTCGGGAAATTAGAGCCATATCAAAATGAAGTTGCCAATATGAATGCATTTTCTATTCGACTTGTCCAAGGTGAGCTTAATGACAGATATGATGACAGAACGTGAATGATCGAGGACAGTCAGAAATCTGATGAAAATCCAAAAAGAGAGTTGACCTGGGCGCCCCATTAGAACTCTGGAGAGTTTGTTAGGGGCCCATACCTCGAGACGTAAGCAAACACCATTCACGACATGGTAATCGAATGCGCTCCGGCTCCTCTATGTATGAGTAGCCGAGATTTTTCCAAAAAATCTGAGGATTGTATTTCTATTGCAACTTGGGTAAACAAAAACGACCAACTGGGCATGTAAGATTCGCTTCCGGGATTCAGATGGAGCTTCATACCTCGCAACTAACCCTCTTAGGTAATTCCACCTGTTCACTAAGGGTCTGTTTTGTTACAGGCACATCAATGGTTACGTGAAATCATAAGCACAGGAGTTTCGAATGAGAGTGCAACCTCGGTCATGTTCGTATAATGGCATACCTTCATGTATTTGTCCTTCGGAATTATCCAACCTTAATAAGTAGATATTTGACTGTATCCATGTTTTTGGAAGCATACTTGTGTGTCTTTTCAAAAAAAGTTCAAAATTGGGACCTAATGTATCACTGCATGTTCGTATAATGGCATACCTTCAAGTATTTGCCCTTCGGAATTATCCAACCTTAATAAGTAGATATTTGACTGTATCCATGTTTTCGGAAGCATACTTGTGTGTCTTTTCAAAAAAAGTTCAAAATTGGGACCTAATGTATCACTGACCAACTCGTTGGAAAATGTTGAAGCTCTCATCGCTGAATTCTACTCTCTCACTTTGTGCTATGCACCTTACTTTAGACTTCTGTTTACCTTTTTAAAGTTGTACCGTTCACTGGTCTTCCATTTTTCTGAAAAAGCCATTTTTTGTCTCAACGGGTCGGGGTCAACGACTAAATGTTTCGGTAAAGTCATCAGGAAGATTCGAAGTGAGTGGCTGGGGTGAAGGTTGATCCTGATGGTTCTACTTCAGTCTGGGTACCACTGTTCTAATCACTGTTCTGCGATTTACAAAGTCAAATTAACAAAGCTTCAAAGTTTACTGGGTGAATCCTTTTTCCCAGGCTTAGTTTACTGGGTGAATCCTTTTTCCCGGGCCTCCATGACCTTATGAAACCTCATTGCGCTCGAAGCTGAGGATAAAAAGTGAGACACTCAGCTGCTTCCATACAACTGGGAGCAGCAGCAACGACCCTGTAGAACCTACTGGTTGATTAGTTCGGAGTTATAATTGCTGAGACGAAAAAATTGTATCTTCTGCCGCTATTCTTGAATTCTAAGAATGTA